GTTCGCTGTGCGCCTTCCCGTGCGAGGGCTGCGCGCACTGCGGCGACCACATGGACGTTCCATTCGACATGGAGGCCTCACAGTCCGCCAGGTTTCAGGGGCAGCGATAGGGAGTCGGGCGTGTCCCTCTTGAGGAGGAGTGCTCAAAGATAATCGAAAAACAGTCTGGGCACCTCTTGATTGTTTTTCCCTACCTAGGCTCTGCCTAGAAGGGTTCTTACTCTGAGGCTTAAGGGGCCGGGCAGTGGAACCCGGCCCGGGCGGTTCCCCCAGTATCCGCCCGGCGGTTCCCTCAGTTACGTCCCCTTAGCTTAGCGTTGCTTATCTCATCTTAGCTTAGCTTATTTCATCTTACCTTAGCTTAGCTTCATCTTAGCTCAGGTTTATCTTAGCTTAGCTTACCTTCATCTGAGCTTCGCTGAGCTTTAGCATATCATACCAGAGCATAGCATAACATAGCGTAGCATAGCATAGCGCAGCATGGCATATCATAGCATAGCCCAACATAGCATAACATAGCATAGCGCAGCATAGCATAGCATATCATAGCATAGCATAGCATAGCATAGCGCAGCACAGCACATCACAGCATAACACAGCGCAGCATAGCATAGCATACCATAGCATATCATAGCATACCATACCATAGCATAGCGCATCATAGCATAGCATAACATAGCATAGCATAGCATAGCGCAGCATAGCATAGCATAGCATAGCATAGCATAGCATAGCATAGCATAGCATAGCATAGCATAGCATAGCATAGCATAGCATAGCATAGCATAGCATAGCAACTGATGCTGCTTTCCTAGGGGCTCCAACTTCTAGGTCGGGTCGCACTGGGGGTAATTGGTCTTTTCGGAACATTTTTTTCGCCCAATCCGCCTGCAGGGGGACATGCCCGACCTAACGATAGGGGGGATAGGCTCAGGGGGCGATTCCTCGACCCCCAATCGCCCATTCACCGTCGACAGGGGCCCCAATAGCCGCCCACCCCACCCGGGAACCTTGGGATTCGGTATCGGGGGCCCGTCGCCGACTCATCGGCGATGCATCGCCGATTCTATCAGGCGATCGCAAACATGGATCAAGGGGGGCGTGGATTAGCGACGGGTCCCGTTTCCACGGGAGCTCGCGCAGTTCCGCCGCCGAACGAGGCGGCACCGGCCGCATTTCGAGGAGGGCACCTCCCCCGATCCATGGATTTGGCGACCGTTCGCCGAATCCATGGATCGCTGATCCATGTTTGCGCGCCCCCGATTCTAGGTCGATGTTTCCCCACGTGAGCTGGTCCCCCCCTTTTCATTGCCCCTCAAGGTTTCTCCCCTGCGGCAGCCAGTGCGCGGGGACCTGCCTGGAGGGCCGCTGCGGCTACGCGCAGTCCTACACCGAGGGCAGCTCGATCGCCGGCCTCTGGTTCCAGGACCAGGTGCGGCTGGGGGACGTCGACGAGCGCAACCCAGCCGTGAATGCCACCCTCGGCTGCCACACGGACGAGCGCAACCTGTTCTACACCCAGCGCGTGAACGGCATCATGGGTATGGCGCCGCACGAGAACGGAGGCTGGCCCACGATCCTGCAGGACCTGCTCCACCCTCCTCCATCCGGCTTCTCCTCCTCCTTCCTCCTCCTTCTTTTCCTCCTCCCTCTTCTTCCTCCTCCTCCTCCTTCTCCTCCCCTCCTCTCTCCTTTTTCTTCTTCTTCTTGTTACTCTTCTTCTGCTTATTCCTCCTTCTTCTTCTTCTTCTTCTTCTTCTTCCTCCTCCTCCTCCTCCTCCTCCTCCTCCTCCTCCTCATCGCTCGTCCTCCTTCTCCTCCTCCTCCTCTTCCACCTCCCCCCCCTCCCCCCCCCTCCCCCTCCTCCCCCTCCTCCTCCTCCTCCTCCTCCTCCTCCTCCTCCTCCTCCTCCGCCTCCGCTTCCGCCTCTTGACGCTGTCGCTGACGGCTTCGGGGTTCGATTGTCGAACGCAGCCATACACTTTCCCAGTGGCATTCAGTGGCATTCTCCTTTGTGGAGGGCGGATCAGACTAAGGAGTTGCCCTTCCCCTCCCAGCGGCTCTCTGCAGCCAAAGAGGGTGGACGACTAAAGAGGTCGCCAGTGTAGTCCGCTGAATCTCAGGTGTGTCTGTGTGTGCCCAGAGGGAGAACGAGGCCATGGACGAGGACAGAGGAAAGCGAGAGAGTGAGGAGCGACAAAAGGGCTACCAACACCGCCGAGGCATGCCCCCGAGACCAGGGGGTCAGACTGAGCTTCGGCAGCATCGGCAGCCCTCAGGTAGTTAGTAGTCTGGCGTTGCCTGGGCGCTCTCTCCACTCCTCCATCCTGCGCTGCACTTCACCGCTCCCCCCCCCCGTGCCACAGGTGCGGCAATCCACTGGAGTGCCTTTGTGGTGGCGCTGTTTTGGCCGTGTGGCGGCCGCGGCGCCGCTCTGCTCGTGGCTCCAGGCTGGGCTGCGCGAGATCTCGGCTGGCGTTGCCGGTGGTCAAAGGTTGTCGTCCGGCGCGCGCGCAGCGTGGCTGTCTTTCCGTTCATGCCGCTTCCTGTGGCAAGGGCGACGAGCCGAACAGACCTTGGGGGGCGAAGCCCGTTGTCGTCGCGCCTCCACGATGGAAAGTTGGGGGACCGAACGTTGCAGTCGCGCCCACATGAGCGATCGCATCGTCGCGCTGTGTCTTCGCGCTGGTTGTCATCGCCGCCAGGGTGGGCAGAAGGGGGATAGGAGGGGGAGGAGGAGGAGGAGGAGGAGGAGGAGGAGGAGGAGGAGGAGGAGGAGGAGGAGGAGGAGGAGGAGGAGGAGGAGGCGGGGAGGAGGAGGAAGAGGATAGAGGAGGAGGAGAGGGGGGGGGGAGAGGAGGAGGAATGGAGGAGATGAGGATGAGGATGAGGATAGGATGAGGATAGATGCGGAGGAGGAGAGGGAGGAGGAGGAGGAGGATAGAGGGACGAGGAGATGGGAGACGAGGAGGAGGAGGAGGACGAGGAGGAGGAGGAGGAGGATGAGGAGGAGGAGGAGGAGGAGGAGGAGAATTCATGAAGGGGGAGGGGGGAGGAGGGGGTGAATCTGCAAGCTGGCAAGAGGTCAAGCCTGGAAGGGCCGCCTGGTGGCGGTCGGGTCACGGTGGGGAAAGCTCCCAAGCAAACGGCTCAGATGGGGGAAATATCCGATCAGTGTGTAAAGATGAAGCATGAGGGTAGGTTGGGAATCGATAGATGTGCACGCTGGCGCGTTCCCGTTTCATCGGCGTACGGGCCGTCTGATCGGTCGCTCGGCAGCGCTGGGTCTCAACACCTAGGACACAGGAGCCGCGAACGCCTTGTCGCTGTCCCGCGGGCATGCCGATGCGGTGCAAGGGGCTCCCGTTGGACCGCCCCGTCTCCGTCGGCGCCTCCCGGTCGCGCGCCAGATGGAGCCTTGCTGTGGGTGCTCTTCGTGGTCTGCCCCGTGGGCTCCCACAGGGCCGCGTTCCCCTCGAGGCAGGGATACGCTCCGTCTCCGTCGGCGCCCCCGGTCGCACGCCAGAACGAGCCTCGCTGGAAAGGCCCTTCGTGGCCTGCCCCGTGGGCTCCCACAGGGCCGCGTCCCCTCGAGAGCGGCCTGGAGCCTGCGTGGCGCGCTGCGGTGCATCCTGGCGCCTCTGGGCCGGTTCGATTCCGGCTCCGCGCCGATGCAGCCCGATACGGCGCGTGTTCCGATGCGAGCCGATTTCAAGATTCTCAGGAGGGGAAAAAACACACAGACACAATTAATTCTCGATTCCCAGGAAAATATGGGAAAATATGGGAAGTGGGGGGAAAACAAAAACCCAGAAAATATGCGAAAATATGGGGAATACTTTTATTTGTGTGTATTCATTTGTGTGTCCTGGGGCCCCTTCAGATTCGATCATCATCGTCGGAACCATCCCCACCCCCAACCGGGCAGGATCAGTTGGCTCTCCCAGCGTGCCCCCTCCATTAACGGGCGAAGAACGGTATAAGATAAACATTTTCGCCGTCGGGGGCGCCTGTCCCAGGGCGGCTGGAAAGCTTATACCCTTACGGTGGCACCGTAGGGGTATAAACTTTCCAGCCGCCCAGGGACAGGCGCCCCCGACAGCGAAACAGTTTATTTTATACCGTCCTTCGCCCGTTAACTCCAGGTGGGGACGGGTGCTCCGAAGCCCGAGGGAGACGGTACCCATCCCCACCCAGGGGGGGGGGAGGCAGATTGCCCAGCGGGGGCCGGGTTTCAAGGGAGGACAAAAACCCGCCCGGACCCGACGACTGGCGTTTACTGAACTGCCCTGGGCGTTTACTACACAGCCCTTCCCTGTTTGATTCCTATCTTGGGTGCGCTTACGAAACGGCTTCGCGTGTTGGGGTGATTCTAATGTGGGCGGATTTCCTGCCCTCTAAGGCTTCCCCAGTGAGAGCGGGTAGTGTTCGCCTCGTCCAGAGCGATTCGGGTTAACCCAAAAGGGGGTCCAGCGACAAGGGGGTGGTGCAATAGATTTGGTGCAATAGACTTGTATAGGTTGCCCCCCCTCCAGGATATACATCACATCTTGAATCGTATTCATCACCTCTTCCTCCTGCCCCCTCTTTCTCGCTTCTCTCCCCCTCATCCCTCATCCCTCGCCCTCCTCTCTCCTCCTCTCCTTTCCCTCGTCCTCCTCCTCCAAACCAAGGGTGTGGTGCAATAGACTCGGGGCAATAGACTTCTGGGGTTGCAGTGCGTTTGGGGCGTGCCCGCGGGAGCTAAGCCAGGCGAGGCGGGCGGGCGAGGCGTGCGGGGCTCCGGTCGCCGGCAGCGAGAGCAGGCCGGGGTTCCGTCGGGCATGCCCCTCTACAGGAGGACTTTTCCCAAAGAGTAGAACAAATCAGGCAGGGGAGGTTTTTTATTGATGATATGTTTCGGCCATTTTTGAAGATGTTTTGATTATGTGTTTCCTCAACATCCGCTGGGGCTCCGTCAGGCATGTCCCTCTACAGGAGGAATTTTCCAACATGTGCCTCTACAGGATCTGCCTCCTAGATGGGGTCGGAGTAGATGGGGTCGGAGGATCGCACCGCATCGCCGATGCGGGGTCCAATTTTCTCCACGCCGACTTCGCCGATGCATCGCCGAGGTCGCCGATGCGTCGTCGATGCATCGCCGATGCATTGGCGATGCATTGGCGACGTCGGCGCGATCCTTCGACCCCATCTACTCGGATGCCATCTAGGAGGCCTCTACAGGAGGAATGTTCAAAAATAGTAAAATATTAGTCAGACTTTTTATAAACATCTGTTTCGACTCTTTTAGAATCTGTTTTGACTATGTTCTTTTTTTCAACATCCACCTGCGGGAGGACATGCCCGACCTAAGGCTGGGGGTGGAGGAGGGCGGGGATGATGAGGGGGGGCACTCAAGAGGGGGGTGATGACCACAGCCGACACGCTGAAAGGAGGACCAGGTTGGGCTCAGGAGGGGCTCGGGTTTCTGGGCCGTTCCAGAGACCTCATCCTGCGCGGAATTTGATCGGAGCATTTTCTTTGGGTGGAGGGTACATGGGGAAATCTGAAATGCCGTTTCGATGGGTTTCCGAGGCTTGAATCTGCAAGCGGTAGATCACATGACGGATTGATTTTCGAGGTGCAAAAGCCCATCTGGATTTCACCCTGAGCCCTCCACCCTGAGAAAATGCTCAGTTGATTCAGCACTATTTGCAGCTGGTGCCATTTCTTGACGGCCGGCTCCCTGGCCCCCCCCCCCTTGAGGCACCGTGCCGCTGTTTATTTGCATGCTCGTGCGCGCCACCCTGATGTGTAATCTGACGTCGGGCCTGTCCCTCTACATGGAGACTATTTCAAAATTCTCCAAAAATAGCCCGGGGACGAATGTTTGAATATGGGAACATTTTTTTTGGCTATGTTTGAATATTTTTGGAACATTTTTTGATTTGTTGTTCACAATCTCCTGTGGGAGGACATGCCCGACCTAAGTACAATCAGAATTGGCGAATCGTCTGCCGACGCGCCGTCTAGGCGCGGCCTTCTCCTGTCCTGTCCTGGCCGCCTCCCCCCTCCCCCCTGGGCCCTTCATGTGCCTCGGACCACGGCATCCGACCCCCACCCCTCTGTGCCATGGCGCCAACGTCGCAGAGCGGATCTCGTTCGGAAAACGATGGGGTGGGCCCAGAGTGTCCTGGAGAATTTGCCAGACATCCATGGACGGAAGCCCACGCAGAAGTCTGCTGCGGCCTGCCTGCAGGGTCGGTGCAGCGACTCCTGGACGCTCCGCCGCCCCCCCCCCCGCCCCCCCCAGACGAGGGGAGGGGGGCCTTGCAGGGGGGGCGCGGGGGCGGCGGGGGTCGAGGACGGCGGGGGCGGCAGCAGGGAGGCAGAAGGTGGCGAGGGCGGGGGCGGGGGTCGAGGAGGGCGAGGGCGAGGGCGGGGGCGGGGGCGGGGATCGCCTTCTCCTTCTCCTCGTCCTCTTCCTCCTCCTCCTCCTCCTCCTCCTCCTCCTCCTTGAGGGCGAGGGCGAGGGCTGGGGCGGGGGCGAGGGCGGGGTCGAGGTGGACGAGGGCGAGGATGGAAGGTGGGGTGCGAGGGACCCCGCACCTCCGAGGCACCTCTGCTGCGCTGCCTGCTGTCGACATGTGCCCCAGCCCCGCCCTCGCCGCGGCTCTTGATCCCTCGGCTCTCGGGGGCCACCTTCTCGCCACTGGTCGTTTTTTTTGGCGAGACGGGCCCCAGGGTCCCTCCCGGACGCCGAAGCAGTGAGGAAGCGCCAGTGGCGAAAGGGCACCAGCACCGAGACAACAACGCGACGCCGGAGGTTCTGGAGCGGGAGGGCGCGGACGAGGCATGGAGGAGGGCCCAGTTCTGGTACGTTCCGACGGGGCTGGGGCGAAGATCGTTCCGCTTCAGAGCCGCAGGATCACAGAGATGCTCGATTCATACCCTCGTCCCAGCCTCCAATTTCGGAGGACGCAGACGAGGCACAGAGGAAGGCCCAGTACTGGCACGTCTCGCTGCCGGCCGCCCCAGATCCTGACCCCCGGAGGTTTCCCCCCTGGAGGTTCGCGCGGAGGCTTAGGTGGAACATGTCCTCCTGCAGGCGGATTCTGGGCGAACAATAAAACATAGCAGCAAACATGCCCCCAAACAGTCAAACATGGTCAGAGAATCGTCCCTGGATTTCCTGCAGAGGGACATGCCCGACTTCGGCGGGGGCCCCCAGAGGTCGATGGAGGTCCGACGAGCCACGGGCGCTCGCAGACCTGTCCCTCGACCCCTCTCGAGGGTCGAGGGGCAAGACTGGGCACCCAGGATGGCCGCCGCGAGGGTGCGAAGCTCTTCGCGGCTCGCGACCCTCGAGTCCTCGTCCCCAGTGATGGCCAGCTTTTCCACCACCGCTACCACATGTAGGACGGGGGAGAAGGGAGGATGAGGAGCTCCTCCGCCTCCTGCTCCTCCTCCTCCTCCTCCTCCTCCTCCTCCTCCTCCCTCGGACTTCGTCCAGGGACTCCAGACTCCTCCTCCTCCTCCTCCTCCTCCTCCTCCTCCTCCTCCTCCCTCTCCTACCTACTGTAGTGATGGTGGAAAATGGGCCCACCACCTCCTCCTCCTCCTCCTCCTCCTCCTCCTTGTCCTCCTCCTCCTCCTCGCCTCTCCTCCTCCTCCTCCTTCTCCTCCTCCTCCTCCTCCTCCTCCTCCTCCTCCTCCTCCGGACTCCTCCTCCTTCAGACTCCTCCTCCTCCTAGCCCGAGCGAAACATGCACGAAGACTTGTCTTCGTACTCGAGGAAGTCACTGTCTGCACTCCTTGCGCGAGCGCACGAAGTTGTTTGCGCTTCGCGCTCCGCCAAGCGCGAAGGGCGAGCACAGCTGCCCTCGAGAGGACCTCTTCGTGGACAAGGAGCACGTGAGCGCCGGCATCTTCGCCCTATGCCTGTCGGAGTGGGGCGGCCGCCTGACGGCAGCCCGGGGCAGCCAAGGGGGGGCCACGGCGGCCGCGCGGCAGCCCGGTCCTCCCTTCTCCTCCTCCTCCTCCTCCTCCTCCTCGCCCCCGTCCTCCTCCTCCTCCTTCTCCTCCTCCTCCTCCTCCTCCTCCTCCTCCTCCTGCGGCCCGCGCACCCGCCTTCCCACCACAGGGCCAGGTCGGGCATGTCCCTCCACAGGAGGGTATTGCAGGGCTTGTTCAAAGCCGTCTGGTGACGATTTGTCGCCCCCTCCGGACTCTGCTCGATGATCTGTGGACTATTTGTTTTGACTATGCGTCGTCCATTTTTTGACAGTTTTTCCTTTTTCCTCCAAAATCCGCCTGTAGGCGGACATGCCCGACCTGACCATGTGGGGAGGGTGCGACGCCCCTGTGTTCGGCCTCGTGCAAGTGTTGAGTCGGGCATGTCTCTCCACAGGAGGAATATTCAGAAATAAAAAACAGTCTGGGGACGATTTTTGAACTACTCTTAGGCTTTTTTGTGGGTATGTGTTGACATTTTTGTTTTTCGCCCAAAATCCGCCTGTAGGATGACATATCCGACATAACACAAGTGTTTCAGTTTTCTTCCAAAATCCGCCCGTAGGGGTACATGCCCGACCTGACCATGTGGGGAAGGTGCGACGTCCCTGTGTTCGGCCTCGCGCAAGTGTTAAGTCGGGCATGTCTCTCCACAGGAGGAATATTCAGAAATATTTACAAAAGTAATATGTGGACGATTTGTGTCGTATTCTCAGCCTATTTTGTGGGTATGTTTTTTTTGTTTTTCGCTCAAAATCCGCCTTTAGGAGGACATGCCCGACCTAACACAAGTGCTTCGTTTTTCTTCCAAAATCCGCCCGTAGGGGGACATGCCCGACCTGACCATGTGGGGAAGGTGCGACCCTTTCCCCCTGTGTTACGCCCCACAGCTGCGCCTGGGCCCACAGCTGCGCCTGGGCCCACAGCTGCGCCTGGGCCTGCGCCAACCTGGCCTCGGTCTCCTCGAGCTCTGGTCTGCCGAGGCACGCGCACCAGCGGCGCCTCGCAGACACTCCCGCGCCATCCCGCCCAAGCGCCCGCGCGCGCGCGCCCGCCCAAGCGCCCGCGCGCGCGCGCCCGGGCCTTCCTTGTGCCCCTGTGTTTGCTCGGCCTCGCGCCAGTGTGGCCCCCGCCCCCGAGCGACCTCCTGGTGCAGGCCCGCAGGGGTCCCCCTCTGGTACTGGCCTGAAGCGGCCTTGCCCGCTTGGGTGCGGCCCCGCGTGGCCCCCGAGTGGCGTTCACCGCGGGCCACTCCGGACCAGGGTCGCTCCTGCGTTTGGGTCGGGGCTGTCCCTCTGCAGGAGGAGTATTCGAAAATAGTCGAGAGATAGCCAGGGGACGACTTTTTGTGTTTACTTCTTCACGGTGTTTGAGTGGCATTTTAATTTTTCGTCCACAGTCGGCCTGTATCGAGGCCTCCTCGATGGGGTCGGAGTAGATGGGGTCGGAGGAACGCGCCGCATCGCCGATGCATCGCCGATACAGCTCGATGTGGAGCCCGACTTTCTCCACGCCGACGTCGCCCGATGCATCGTCGATGCATCGGCGATGCGGCGCGATCCTCCGACCCCATCTACTCCGACCCCATCGAGGAGGCCTCTACTGCAGGAAGACACGCCCGACTAAATAATCCTACGTGCAGCCGATGTGTGCGGGACTCGAAGAGGAAGCCGCTGCACAGCCGTGATCTTTCGGCGCTCCGCGAGGACTTCTCGGGCCGCGCCGGGCCCCCCCCCTATGGGGCGCCCAGCGCCGACCGAAAATTCCCTCCTCCTCCTTCTCCTCCCTCCTCCTCCTCCTCCTCCTCCTCCTCCTCCTCGCTCCTCCTCCTCCTCACTCCTCCTCCTCCTCCTCCTCCTCCTCCACACTGCTCTCTCTCCTCGCCTCTTCTCCTATTCGTAATCCCTTTCCCCCCTCCTCCTCCTCGTCTCCTCCTCCTCCTCCGCCTCCGCCTCCTCCTCTCCGCCTTCCTCCTCCTCCGCCTTCCTCCTCCTCCTCCTCCTCCTCCTCCTCCTCCTTCCCCCGAGTGGCGCGAACCCCGCCGCCGCTGGGCTTCTGGCCGCCCTCAGGTCGGGGGGCACGACCCGTCGGTGCACGCTCCGGGGCGCGAGATCCAGTGGATACAGGCGCCGTCGCCTCTCACTGTTCGGGGATGAGGAGGGTGGAGGAGGAGGAGGACGAGGAGGAGGAGGAGGAGGGGGAGGGGGAGGAGGAGGAGGAGGAGGAGGAGGAGGAGGAGGAGGAGGAGGAGGAGGAGGAGGAGGTGGCAGGAGGCGGAGTTTTTTGCAAATGCGCGGCAGCCAGGCGCACACCCTAATCGCGAGAGCAAAAAGGCCGGGCGACAGGCTGGCAGTCAAAACCTGCGGGCTAAACACCCGCCGAGGGCCACTCGCGGACCCCAGGCCTGGGAGGGAGGCCCTTGCGCAGCCGCAGCAGGGCAGTGAGCTGCGCCTTGGTCAGCGCAAGGGGCCCGTGCCTCGCCGCCTCGCACTCCTCCAGGAGGCGCGAGGGCCTGGAGTCAGCGTAGCGCCCGCAGATGCTGCAAAAAGTGATGGCGCCCTTGCGCCACAAAAGATGAGAGGCGTGCGGCACATGTCCAGCGATGCCCGTGCCAGGCGGCAAGCGAGAGGGGGGATCAGGCATCCCCAGAGACCGAAAAAGTTGCTCGTCGATGGGCGGCAGGCCCGCGTACGAGCGCGGCAGCTTGACGCAGACCCTAAGCGCGGGAGCTGCGTCCGCCTCTGGCTCGACCGCGGGCTCGAGAGGCTCCTCACCGTCCCCCCCCCCGTCCTCGACCGCCCCGTCCCCCTCCCTCAGATGGCCTCGCAGCTGCAGCTCCACACGGCTGGGAGGCGGGCTTGGCGGCGGCCGCAGGGCCGAGCAAGAGGAACGCAGCAGGTGGAGGGCGCGGCTCTGAGAGCGCCTGACCGCTCGGCCACAGCTCTTGCAGCACCAGCCGTAAGCGGTCGGAGCAAAGGCATGCTGGGAACGAGCCGCAAAACCCGAAAGCAGCTCCTCCCTCCTCTGAGCCCTCGAAACCTTGGGTTTGGTAACCTCACGGCCAGGGCACTTGGGGGCGGAGGCGGCGGCAGCACAGAGAGTGGCATTGCGGAGCAGGATGGCCTCGGCCTGCTCCACCAGGTCCAAAGCGCGGCGGGCAACGTCTGGATCAAGCTGAGCCTCCTCGGACCGCTCCTCGGCGAGCCCGTCGGCAACCGCATGGCAGGAGGCGGAGGAAGCGGAGAAGGAGGAGGAGGAGGAACGGACGGAGGGAGGGTTGGAGAACGAGGGACGAGGAGAGAGGGAGGGAGGGAGGGATGGAGGGAGAGAGGTTGGGAAACACAGAGGCAGGGAGGGAGGGAGGGATTGATGAGGGGGGAATATGAGGGAGGAGAGAGGACGCAAGAGTGGTGACAGAGGGAGGGAATGGTGATGGTGGGGGTGATAGTGATGATGATGGTGAATGTGACGGTGATGGTGACGGTGATGGTGACGGCAATCGTGACAACGATGATGATGATGATGATGATGATGATGATGATGATGATGATGATGATGATGAGGATGATGATCATGCTGATGCTGATGATGATGCTGATGGCAATGATGATGGTGATGATGATGGTGATGATGACGATGATGATGATGGTGCTGGTGCTGCTGCTGATGATGTGATTATGATGCTGCTGATGTTGATGATGAAGATGATGCTGACGATGCTGCTGACGATGCTTGTGCTGCTGATGATGGTGACGATGATGACGATGCTGCTGACAATGATGATGATGTCGATGATGCTGATGCTGATGATGTTGATTATGATAGTGATGACATGCGGATGATGGTTGTGATGCTGCTGCTGATGAGTTTGATGATGACGATGCATATGATGCTGCTGAGGCTGACGATGATGCTGACACTCATGATGACGACGATGTCGATACTGATGATGTTGATGACGATAGATCTGATTTGCTGATGAATGCTCCTGATGAGACTGATGGTGATGACGATGATGCTGATACTGATGACGTTGATGATGCAACTGATGATGATGATGATGATGATGATGATGATGATGATGATGATGATGATGATTATGATGACGATGCTGCTGATTATGATGATGATGATGATCATGATGCTGATGATGCCGATGATGATGACGACGATGACGACGATGACGATGGTGATGATGGTACTGATGCTGATGTTGATTATGATGATTATGATGATGATGATGATGATGATGTTGAGGCTGCTGATAATGATGACGATGGTACTGATGTTGATGCTGACTATTATAATGCGCCTGTTGATGCTGAGGACGGCGACGACGACGATGCTGCTGCTGATGATGATGATGTTGATGATGGTGATGATGATGAGGAGGAGGACGATGCTGATGCTGATGATGATGCTGCTGCTGATGACGATCACCACGATATGTTCATGATGATGCTGACAATGCTGCTGCTGATGGTGATGATGCTGATGATGAGTACGCTGATGATGATGCTGCTGCTGATGCTGACGAGTGCTTGTTATGATCACGCAGATGGTGAGGATGATGCTGATGCAGTTGATGCTGACGGCGATGACGATGACGGTTACCATGCGGGTCTTGGTTGTGCTGCTGATGATTACGATGATGACGATGTTGCTGCTTATGATAATGCTGCTGCTGATGAAGATGAAGATGAAGATGAAGATGCTGATGATGATGATGATGATGATGATGATGATGATGATGCTGATAATGATGACGATGATGATGATGATGATGATGATGATGAGGATGAGGATGATGATGATGATGATGATGATGATGATGATGATGGTGATGATGATGATGATGATGGTGATGATGATGATGCTTGTGATGATGATGATGACGCTGATGATGACGCTGATGCTGATGATGATAATAATGATGATGGTGAGGGTCTTGGTGGTAATGCTGATGATGATGACGCTGCCGACGAAGGTGGCGATGGTCACGATGACGATGGCGATGCTTTGACGGTGGCGATGACGGTTACGATCTCGATCGCGATTACGATCACGATGCTGATGTTTCTGCTGCTGGCGATAGTGAAGGTGACGCAGGCGATGATCGTGCCAGTAGCGCTGACGGGGACGGTGACGATGACGACTATCACGGCTGTGATGGTGTTGGTGATGCTGATTACGATGATGGTTGGTGGTGGTGATTATGACGATGATGACGATGATGCTGATGATGATGATGATGCTGATGATGATGATGATGATGATGATGACGACGACGACGACGACGGCGACGACCCTGACGACGACGATGATGCTGCTGATGATGATTGTGCTGATGCTGCGATAAGTAGGCTGCGCAGACGATTGTGGTGATATTGATGCCAACGATGCTGTCGATGCTGACGCTGGCAATGATGGCGATGCTGATGATGCTGACGATGATGAAGCTGACGATGATGACGATGCTGTTGCTGATGCTGATCTGATATGTACGATGATGGCACTGACGAAGATGACGATGGCGATAATTATGTTGCCGGGGATGATGATGATGATGATGATGATGATGATGATGCTGGTGATGATGCTGATGATGATGCTGATGATTCTACTGATGCTGCGGCTGCTGACGATGATGACGATGGCGATCATGATCATGATTCTTATGATGAGGCTGATGATCATGATGATGATGACGATGATGATGATGGTTATGATTATGATGCTGGCGACGATGCTGATTATGATGATGATGCTGCTGACGATGGCGAGTGTTTGGGTGACGCTGATGATGATAATGATGATGCTGATGCTGTTGATGTTAATGCTGACGCTGCTGCTGATGATGATGAGGATGCTGCTGCTGCTGATGATGATGAGGCTGATGATCATGATGATGTTGATGATGATGATGATGATGATGATGATGATGATGATGATGATTATGATGATGATGATGACGATGATGACGATGCTGCTGCTGATGATGCTGATGATGAGGTTGATGATGTCGAGGATGGTGACGATCATGTTTACGATGAGGGTCTTGGTGGCAATGCTGCTGATGATGATGCTGACGATGACGGTGATGGTCATGATGACGGCAACTCTGACGGTGACGATGATGGTGACGAGTTCGAACACGATCACGATCACGATCATGATCGTGAGGAGGAGGAGCAGGGGAACGAGGAGGAGGAGGCGGAGGAGGAGGATGAGGAGGAGGAGGAGGGGGGCGAGGGCGAATGCGAGGAGGAGGAGGAGGGGGATGGGGAGGGGGGAGGTGGCGGGGGAGGGGGAGGGGGAGGGGGGGAGGAGGGGACCTCCAGTCCTTTCCCTTATGAGTATGTAACTCTTCCCTGTCGCACCCAGAGGCTGTGAAAAGGGCGAGCTGGGCGTTTCTCCTGATACTTCCTTACTATTTATGACGCTGAAGCTCAACAACTGGCAGCAGTTTCACATTTTGAGGGCGGGTAGTTTTCAGAATGTGGCTCTCGCCGTAGCGCCGAGCATATTCGTTATAAACATGTGCAAGAGTTTCACGGATTGAGGGCGGTTCTTTTTAGGAATGTGGCTCTCGCTTTCGCGCCGCGCGCATGCGTTGTACACATTTGCGAAAGTCTCACGGGTTCTCATGGCCAGCGTGGCAGACATGGTGTTTTGGAAGGGCTCAGGATTGTGAGGGCGCAGCGGTTATGTTGATTCGCGGTGTTGAAGCCCCAGGGATAGTTCTCTGGGGCGGCTCAGGATCGCCAGGACGCAACAACAGTCCTTTTGATCCGTGGCGTTGTATTCCCGAGAATGGTGTTTTGATGCTTCAGGGTCCTCAACCAGTGGTCTTCCAGCGAGGCAGTTCCTTCAGTGGAAATGAAGCTTCCCATGGGGCCTGTGAGGAGGGAGCTTGGAGGGAGGGTTTCTTCTGACATCATTGGTGAGTCTTGGGTTTCCACTGGTCCTGCTCCTCCTCCTCCTCCTCCTCCTCCCGCACCGCCCCAGCTGCAGCACTCGGGCTACTACTCCGTCGCCCTGTCGAGCCTCTCCATCGGCGGCGCCGTGGTCGGGTCGGGCTCTGCCGCGTTCGGCGCGCGCGCCCCCGCCCCCGCCTCTCTTCCCGGCGTTGCCGCTCTCCCCTCGTCCCGTTCTTCGTCCTCGTTATTCTCCCTCCTCCTCCGCCTCCACCGCGTCGTCCTCCCCCTCCTTCTCCTCCTGCGCCTCCTCGGCTCCCTCCTCTTCCCCCTCCCTCTTCCCCCTCCCTCTCCTCCCTCCCTCTCCTCCTCCTCGTCTCCCCTCGTTCCTCCCTTCCGCCCTCCTGCACCGTCCCTCCCTGCTCCTCCCTCCTCTCTCCTCGTCGACCCACAACGGGCGCGATGGCGTATGGGGTGATGGGTGGGAGGGTCAGAGGAAGTCCTTCTCGCCCTCCTTCTCCTCACCCGCTGGGCCTGTTTTGCCTCTTTTAATTTCTGCTCCATCGAGCATCCCCTGCCCCTTCCTCCCGTCCTTTCACATAAGCAGTTTCGCAATAGCAAACTATTAGCATTGTTTGTTGTGGTTTTTCCCTCTTTCAGAAGTGATGCTCCCGCTGCAGCGTTTGCCTCGTGTGAAGGTATCCAGAGAGCCTCCGTCCAACGGAGCAACGCTTTTGCCGTAGCGCTGGCCGTACATTTGCATTTTCAAAAGTTCTGCTCACGCTGTGAGGCTTGCACATTTATGGATTGTGAAGACCTTGCGGCCAGTGCCGCCGATCCAGAAGGACGACGACGACGACCACGACGAAAACGACAACGACGAGTTGATGACCCTGTTGCATGCTCGGGAGATGGGGCGGTCAGTGAAGGGAGGAGGAGGAGGAGGGGGAGGAGGAGGAGGAGGAAAAGGAGGAGGACGAGGAGGAGAAGGAGGAGGAGGACCAGTGTAAACCCAAGGCTCATCAACGATGTTGGAATACACTCTGCCTCCAAGCTCCCTCTTCACAGGCCCCTGCAAGGGGCCATTTCCACTGAGTGCCCCGTTGGGGGGCAACCGTGCGAAAATCCTGAAGCGTGCCAGAACACAATTCTTAGTGTTTCAAAGCTACGAGTTCCACGTCTTGGTGATCCTGAATCGTCTCAGAACACCATTGGTGAGACCCCAACGCAGCGAATCGATATAATAGTTGCGCCCTGGCTATCCTGTGTCCGTCGAAAACACAATTCCTGGTACGTTAACCATGCAAAGTAATCTACCTTGTGCGCATTTTTAAACGATTGCGCGCGGCGCTAAGGCGATAGCCACATTTTGAAAACGGCCCGCCCTCAATCCGTGAAGCTCTTGCAAAGTGTTAAAACGAATGTGCGCGGCGCTAAGGCTAGAGCCACATTTTGAAAACGACCCGCCCTCAATCCGTGAAGCTCATGCACATTTGAAAACGAATGTACGCGGCGCTGTGGCGAGCGCAACATTTTGACAACCACCCGCCCTCAATCTGTCAGGCTCTTGCACATATAAACGAATGTGCGCGGCGCTGAGGCGAGGGCCGCATTTTGAAAGCGACCCGTCCTCCATCTGTGAAACTGTTTCCATTTTCTAAGCTTCAGGATGATACATTGTAAGAAAGTCTCAGGCGAAACGACCAGCTCGCCCGTTCGACCAGTCTCGGGGTGCGACAGGGAGAAGTTATCTATAAGGATAAGGAATAGAGGAGCAGGAGGAAGATGATGATGATGATGATGATGATGATGATGATGATGATTATGATGATGATGACGATGACGATGACGATGATGATGATGATGATGATGATGATGATGATGTTGCTGCTGGCTGATGATGATGATGCTGCTGATGATGATGATGCTGATGATGATGATGCTGATGCTGCTGCTGCTGATGATGATGAAGCTGCTGCTGATGATGCTGCTGCTGCTGATGATGCTGATGATGATGATGATGATGATGATGATGATGATGATGAGGATGAGGATGAGGATCATGATGATGATGATGATGATGATGATGATGATGATGATGATGATGATGATGATGATGATGATGATGATGATGATGATGATGATGATGACGCCTCCCTGAGTCGGGCTGGACGACGAGGCTCGATGCCCGAGGCGGAGGAGGAGGAGGAGGAGGAGGAGGAGGAGGAGGAGGAGGAGGAGGAAGAGAAGGAGGAGAAGGAGAAGGAGGAGGAAACGGAAAAGCGGTCTGTCACCTCGGGGGCGGTCCGGGGCTGGGGCCTGGGTGGGGCCCGGGCCAGGGCTGGGGCCGTGGCTGGTATCGGTGCTAGGGCCGGACACGGGGCTGGGGCTGGGGCCTGGGCCTTTGCCCAGGGCTGGTGGTCGGGCTGGGGCCAGGGCCGGGCGGGGCCCGGACCCGAGCCGGGGCTGGGGGCCGAGACCTGTGGCGGGGCCGGGGGCTGGGGGCTCGGGTGTTGCTAGAAGTGCCTCTGGCCCAAGGTGCCCCTAGCTTTTCGCTCCATTTTGGAGCCCTCGGGGCCCTTTGGGCCCCGTGAGGGGTGCCCTGGAGGCCGTCTGTGCCACCCTGGAATCCTGGGGGTACCGTGGGCCAGGGGCGATCCTCCGACCTCATCTACTCCGACCCCATCCAGGAGGCCTCTAGTTCGACCTCCAGGGTGGACCCTCTGAGACCATCGCGGCGGTGCACGCCTCGCGGGTTCTGGCGCCGTCTCGACGGGCATGCCCAGGGCCTCTTTTTGGCGCCTCCCTCCTCTTGCCGCCCTTGGCGTCCCGCACAGGTCCCCCTGCGCTGGCGCGCGCGCGGCCACCGCCTCCCTCAGTCGGGCTGGACGACGAGGCTCGATGCCCGAGGCGGAGGAAGAGGAGGAGGAGGAGGAGAAGGAGGAGGAGGAGGAGGAGGAGGAGGAGGAGGAGGAGGAGGAGGCGGAGGAGGCAGAGGAGGAGGAGGAGGAGGAGGAGGAGGAGGAGGAGGAGGAGGGGGAGGAGGAGGAGGAGCTCGCGGGTCCCGCCGGCTGGTGCCTCGCTCTTCGCGCTGGTTTTGTCGCCGGCGTAACTCCCCTTTTGGGGATCAGCTTCGCGCCGCCCCACCGCCCGCTACTAGCTTTGGCGTGCTCCCTGCCCGCTGTCGCCTCCGTTCCGCCCGCCTCGCTTTCAGTCGGGCATGTCCCTTTACAGGAGGAGTATTCAAGAATAGAAAACAAACAGTCCAGGGACGATTTTTCGGCTATTTATTGATTATTGGTGATTTTCTTGACTATATTTACACTTTTCTTCCCAAATCCGCCTGTATCGGAGGAGGGCATGCCCGATCTGCAGTGGGGGCCCATGCCAAGAAACACCCTGCTTGCCCGCAGGGGTTTCCTGGGTTTCTTGGGTCTCCATGGTTTTGCCATGGAAAGCGTGGCGTTCCCGCGCCCAAAGTCGGTGGAAGCCCTGGGGTCTCAGGGTTGGGCTTCTTGTGGAAGGTTTCTTCTTGTCAGGCTTCGTCTGTAAGCTTCGCTGCCCCGCCGACCCGGCCCCCGCCAGCCTGACTCTGCTGCTCCGCCCGCCGCCCCGGCCCCGCCGACCCGGCTGCTGCCCCGTGAGGGGGGGCCGGCTGCCCGACGCGCGCGGCCTCCGCGCGGGCGTCGGAGGGTGCGGCGTGTCGACCACCCGCGAACGCTCGAATATATATATATATATATATGTATATATAGATGTATATATATATATGTGTGTTGTGTGTGTGTGTGTGTGTGTGCTCCGCCGGCCCCTGCCGCCGCCTGGCCTCGCCGTGAGGAGCGGGCCCGGTCTCCTCCTCTCCACCGCCGTCGCCGGGCGCCTCCTCCCCTCCTCTCGTGCATCGCGGCTGAGTTCGCACCTGTTCGTCCAGCATTTGCCCTCCCGCCAGCGCAGTCACTCTGCCTAGCCGCCGAAGCAACAAGTGTGTGTGTGTGTGTGTTCATTCGAAGGAGGAAAACACGGCATAACACAGAAGCCTTCGGAGCTCCGCGCGGGTTTGTGGGATCGGAGCTGGGCCGTCCGTGGCGGCGCCCCCGGCGCTGCCCCCGGCGCGTTCCGCGCGCCAGGGAGGGGGGTAGGGTGCCGATCCAAGAAGTCCGCGCGGAGGTCTGTGCACTTTTCCTGTGATGTCTCCCGTGTGGCTCCGCCAGCAGCGCGCAGCCTGTGCACGCAGCCTGTGCCGGCCCTCGCCGCCCTGCGTCGTGTGGAGGGGCTGCGCCAGGCAAGCGCACTCTGTTGCTGTTGCTTGGCTTGCGGATCATCGAGTGGAGGCGCGCCCACACGCGCGCGCGCACAGGCGCATGCATGTACAGCGGGTGGGCGCTACGGGTGGTAAGGCGGACGCCCTGTGGCCGGAGGTGCGTTTTTTTTTGGGTTGTTTTGGCTCGTTGTTGTGTCAGGCGCGCTGGTGAGGTCTGGCCAGCGGGTGTTCAGATGGGGCGCCACCAGCAGCAGAGCCATCTTCATTGCGAAAGGCAGCGTGGTCACACCTGCGACCCCCTGGGGACCGCGCTTGCGGGGCGCGCACGCGTGCAAACGCGCGCTTTCATAATCTGACACAAACGCAGCACACAAGGCAGCACACGCGAGGCATGACAATGTCACGCAGCGCGCAAAGCAAGAGATGCAGCTAAGATCATGTCCGCCCTTTTCACCTGAACGGCCACAGGATGGCGACGTGCGCCAAGCTCGAGTTGGGAAGGCCTCCCCGCTCCCCCCGCTCCCCTCCGCAGAGCGCTGCGCGGTCGATAGCGCACGACCATCCTCCTATTTTTTCCCCTGCGGGAGGGCCCCTGCCCTTAGCAGGGGGGGGGGGCCGTGATCACAAGACAGGAGGGAGAGGAAGGAGGGGGAGGTAAGATCAGAAGGTAGGGGAGGATGAGCGAGGAACGAGGAAGGAGGAAAAGAGGAGAGGAGAGCGGAGGTGGAGGAGGCTGAGGATTAGGAGGAGGAGGGGATGAGAATGAGGAGGTAGGAAGGAGGAGGGAGTAGGGAGAAGGGAGGAGGGATGGAGGAGGAGGGAGGAGGGAAGGAGGAAGGAGGAGGAAGAGGAGGAGGAGGAGAAGGAGGAGGAGGAGGAGGAGGAGGAGGAGGAGGAGGATGGAGGAGGAGGATGGAGGAGGA